CAAGACGGTTCCAGGAGAGCCCCGACAGGGCTTCAAGACTGCCTAAGCGAGCCCAGCGGGCCCCAAGAGGGCCCCGCGAGGCCCCGAGAGGCCCCAAACAGGCCCCCAAGAGCCTCCTTGGAGGCCCCCAAGAGGCCCCCAAGATGCCCAAAAATGGTCCTGAGCGCGCCCCAAGACGCCTCCAGGAGAGCCCAACAGGCCTCCGAGAGGCCCCCAAGAGGCCCACTGGAGGCCCTCAGGAGGTCGTCCCCATCATGTTCCCGGAAGGCGGTCCGGGAACATGATTCCGCGCCTTGGAGGAGTACTCTGCGCCTTCCGAGGCGCCTTGGACGAAGTACGATTCATATTCTTGAACGCTTTCCGGGAACATGATTTCTCACCATGTCGGAACGCTTTCCTACTGCTGCGGTGCTCTGGGGGGAAGGGACGGGGGTCCGGGAACATGATCGGGAGGTTAGGGAACGAGGGTTTGGAGAGGAGCAGTAGGACAGACGGACGGGGCCCGGGGGCGGGGGTGGGGTGGTGCCACCCGTTGGCATGGCCGCCCCGGGCACCTTGTGGGGTCCACGAACCCGCCCAAGACGGCCCATGAGGCCCCAAAGACAGCCCAAGAGACCCACAAGACAGCCTCAGCGAGGCCCAAGAGGGGCCCAAGACGCTCAAGAGCGCCCCAACAGCGCCCGAGATGGCTTGAAGATGGCCGAAGAGGGCCCCAAGAGGTTCTTCAAGAGGCAAACACCGGCCCATTCCCATTCGTAAAGCATGCATTTTCAGCATACTCGTTTGCTTGGTCCTCACAGTGCCCCAGACGCCCCCGAGCCCCAAGACAGCCCAAGAGAGACCCAAGAGGGCCCACGACGGCCCAAACGGGTCGTTTTGTGAGGCTCACGGAACCCCCCAAAGACGGCCCAAGAGGCCCCAAAGCCGGCCCAGGAGGCCCCCAAGACGGCCTCAGGAAGGCCCAAGAGGGCCTCGTTCGAAGTCACGTTCCCAGAAGCCTCTCCGGGAACATGATTTCCGGGTTTCTAGGACGCCCAAGAGGGCCCCAGGACGGCCCCAAAAGGGCCCTAAAAGGACATTCAAAAAGGCCCGGATGGCCACAGTTCGTTGATTTGCGTGAGATGTTGTTGGATTTCTTCCGCGCGGAGGAGACGGAGAGGGCGAAGGAGGAGGAGGAGGAGGAGGAGGAGGAAAAGGAAACGGAGAAGGAGGAGGAGGCAGGCAGGAGGAGTGGAGGGGAGGAGGGGGGGGGAGAGGAGGAGGCTCGAGGGCGATCGACGATCGGCGACGACAACCGGCGACGGTGATTGACGACGACGACGACGACGACGACGATGACGACGACGACGACGATCGACGACGGTCGACGACCGACGACGACGACGATCGACGACGATGACAATAGTCGACGGCGCCGATCGACGATCGACGGCGACGACGACGGCCACGCCGACGGCGGCGACGCTGCCCGCGTGACAGCCCAAGAGGCACACAAGACAGCCTCATCGAGGCCCCAGAGGGCCCCAAGACGTCCAAGAGCGCCTCAAGAGGGCCCGAGATGGCTTGAAGATGGCCGAAGAGGGCCCCAAGAGGGCCTTCAAGAGGCAAAACTTTACCCATTCCTCGTGTAAAACGTACAATTTCAGCATACTCGCTTGCTTCGTCCTCAGAGTGGCCCCCGAGGAGCCCCAAGACAGCCCAAGACGGCCCCAAAGGCCCCAAAGCCGGCCCAGGAGGCCCCCAAGACGGCCTCAGGGAGGCCCAGGAGGGCCCCGTTCGAAATCATGTTCCCCGAATTTTTTCCGGGAGCATGATTTCCGGGTTCCCAGGACGCCCAAGAGGGCCCCAGGACGGCCCCAAAAAGGGCCTAAAATGACATTCAAAAATTTCCAGAGGGCCACAGTTCGCTGATTTTCGCGAAATGTTGTTGGATTTCTTCCACGCGGAGGAGACGGAGAGGGCGAAGGAGGAGGACGAGGAGGAGGGGGAGGAGGAAGAGGTTAAGGAGAAGGACGAGGCGGGGAGGAGGAGTGGAGGGGAGGAGGGGGGAGAGAGGAGGAGGAGGCTCGAGGGCGATCGACGATCGGAGACGACGACCAGCGACGGTGATTCACGACGACGACGACGACGACCACGACGACGACCGATGACGATCGACGACGATGACAACAGTCGACGCCGCCGATCGATGATCGACGGCGACGACGACGACGGCCACGCCGACGGCGGCGACGCTGTCCGACAGCCTTAGCGAGGCCCAAGAGGACCCCAAGACGTCCAAGAGCGCCTCAAGAAGGCCCGAGATGGTTGAAGCTGGCCGAAAAGGCCTTCAAGAGACAAAAATCGGCCCAGTCCCGTTGTACAACGTACGTTTTCAGCATACTTGCTTGCTTGGTCCTCACAGTACCCCAGACGCCCCCGAACCCCAAGACAGCCCAAGAGAGACCCAAGAGGGCCCAAGACGGCCCAAACGGGTCGTCCTGTGAGGCTCACGGAACCCCCAAGACGGCCCAAGAGTCCCCAAAGTTGGCACAGGAGGCCCCCAAGACGGCCTCAGGAAGGCCCAAGAGGGCCTCGTTCGAAATCATATCCCCAGAAGCCTATCCAGGAACATGATTTCCTGGTTCCCAGGACGCCCAAGAGGGCCCTAACAGTAACACGGCCCCAGAAGGCCTTAAATGGACGTTCAAAAAGCCCCGGAGGGCCATAGTTCGTTGATTTGCGCGAGATGTTGTTGGACTTCTTCCGCGCGGAGGAGACGGAGAGGGCGAAGGAGGAGGAGGAGGAGGAGGAGGAGAAGGAAGAGAAGGAGGAGGAGGCGGGGAGCAGGAGGAGTGGAGGGGAGGAGGGGGGGAGAGAGGAGGAGGCTCGAGGGCGATCGACGATCGGCGACGACGACCGGCGACGGTTATTGACGACGACGACGACGGTCGACGACCTACGACGACGACGATAGAAGACGATGACAACAGTCGACGTCGCCGATCGACGAACGACGGCGACGACGACGACGGCCGCGCCGACGGCGGCGACGCTGTCCGCGTGCGCAGAGCCACCCTGGACCCAGTCTTTTCTGCATCGTTCGAAATCCTGTCCCCGGAAGCGTCTCCGGGAACATGATTTCAGGAGGAGGAGGAGGAAGAGGAAGAGGAGGCAGATTAGGAGGAGGAGGAGGAGGAGGAGGAGGAGGAGGAGGGAGGAGGAGGAGGAGGAGGAGAGGAGGATGAGTGGGCGGGAGGGCTCGGGGCCGATCGACGATCGGCGACGGTGATCGGCGACGGTGATTGACGATGACGACGACGGTCGTCGACGGCGACGACCGACGACGGCGACGACGACGACGTCTTCACAGTGCCACCCCGAGGAGCCCCAAGACGGCCCAAGAGGGACCCAGGATGACCCATGATAGCTACAAACCAACCCAAGAGAGCCCCCAAAGGCACCCAACAGAGCCACAACGGGGGCAAGCAGAGCCGCCTATAAAGATTATCGGGGGGCCTCTTCCGCAGCGTCCGAAATCATGTTTCCCGAAGCCTCTATCGGAACATGATTTCGGGGTTCCCAGGACGCCCAAGGGGGCCCTAAGACGGCCCCGACAAGTCCTGAAAGGACGCTCGAACAAAAACCCGGAGGGGCACACTTCGTTGATTTCCGCGACATGTTGTTGGATATGTTTGCACGCGGAGGCGGTGGAGGAGGAGGGGGGGGAAGAGGAAAGGAGGATGAGGAGATGGACGAGGAGGAGGAGGAGGAGGAGGAGGAGGAGGAAAGAGGAGGACGATGGGGGGAGGAGGGGGCGGGGAGAGAGAAGGGGGGCGGGGGGAGGAGGAGGGAAGAGGGATGATGACGTCGATGATAATGATGATGATGATGATGACCATGGCGATGGGGACGATTATGATGATGCTGATGATGATGATGATGATGGGGGGGGGAGGAGGAGGAGGAGGAGGAGGAAGGAGGAGGAGGAGGAGAGGAGGAGGGCGGAGAAGGAGGAGGAGGAGGAGGGAGGGGGAGGAGGGGGGGGAGGAGGAGGGGAAGGAGGAGGAGGAGGAGGAGAAGGACGAGGAGGCGGAGGAGGAAGAGCAGGAGGAGGGGAGGCGGATGTGGAGGAATAGGAGAAAAGGAGGAGGAAGAGAAAGAGGGAGGCCTCCCCCGAGTGTTCCTTTTATCCGATGTGGCCCAATGCTTGCGCGGCGTCGCAGTGCCGTTCGGCGAGCCATGTAGTCTGAACAGGAGGAGGAGAGGGAGCAGGAGAAGGAGGAGTAAGAGGAGGAGGAGCAGGAGAAGGGGAGGAGGAGGACGAAGAAGAGGCGGAGGAGGAGGACGAAGAGGAGGAGGAGGGAAGGAGGAGGGAGAGGAGGAGGAGGAGCATATGAAGATGATGATGGTGATGGTGATGGTGATGATGATGAGGATGATGATGATGATGAGGAGGAGGATCAGGAAGAGGAGGAGGGGGAGGAGGAGGGGGGGGGGAGAAGGGGGGGGCGGCGCGGAGGAGGAAAAGGAGGAGGAGGAGGGAAAGTAGGAGGAGAAGGAGGAGGAGGCGGAGGAGGAAGAAGAGGAGAAGGATGAGGAGGAGGGACAGGGGGCGGAGGAGGAGGAAGGGGGGAAAGGAGGGGACGATGGAGGGCGGAGGAAGAGTAGGAGGAGAGGAGGAAGAGCAGGGGGAAAGAGGAGGACGAGGACGAGGTGTCGTTTTCGGCCGCCTCGGGCCGCCCGGGGGCGAGGAGCGCCCCAAAGCTTTTCGTGCCACGACCACGAGACTCGACGAATAACCGAAGTGCATTCAGCCTTCAACCTCCTCGTCCGTTGTTTGGCCGTTGCCCCGGACGAAGCTGGAACCTAAGCGCGCGCGTAGCGCGCGCGTGGTTCTCGTATATATACATATATTTATGATCCTTTTAACAAGTGCATGCTGCGTCCCACGGCGAAGTTGCCGCACTTGATGGTCATCCGTTGCCATCTCGCTCAAGCCTCGAGCGAACTCCGCCCGCATGCTTTCTGCCGCTCGCGCGGCGGCCGATCTGCTGCTGCCAGAGCTGGGCCGCGGGCTGAGCACCGGCGTGGCGCTCTACGCGGCCAACCAGGGGCACGCCCAGAGCCCTGCGTGCTCGTGCGCGCCGCAGTTCCACTGCCCGGAGCTGCGGCGCGACTGCTCAGGCCTGCAGGGTTCGAGCAGCCAGGGGCCGAGCCTCTGGGCCGTGGCGCTGGCCTGCGCCACCAGCGGGCTGGTCGGGGCCTGCACCGCGGCGCTGGTTTTCTGGCGGGCGGGCGGCTGCTTCGTGGCGGCCCGCTGCCCGCAGGTCGGCAGCGGCGCGCAGCCTGACTTCGAGGAGGAGGCCCGAGCTCAGGCGCGCGTGGCTCGCGCCAAGGCTCTGCAGCAGCGATGGCGGCGCCGGCGCCGCCGGCCTACCCGTCAGAGGCCGCGGCGGGCGTTCAGCCCGGTGACTTCATCGGGGTGCAGTACCATGTGGCGGGCGCGGTGCTGATCCACGAGCGCGTGGTGGTGCTGGTGCCGCCGGGGCTACCTGGCGCGGCCTGCATCATCACGCCCGACGCGGACGAGTACGACGAGCTGTAGGTGGGCTCGCCGGACGTGCTGCGGTGGGACATCTTCCCTGGTGGCGCGGCGGGAGGCACGATGGCGTGGGCGCCGGGCGCCCGCTACTACAGGTTCCGCAGCCTGCCGACGCCGGCCACGCTGTTGACGGCCGCAGCCGCTGCCGCGGGCCGCCTCGGCCTTGCAGCCCCGCCTGGGCCCATCGTGGCCAACGCAGGTGGGCGGGCGCTGGCAGCGCCGTCGGCGGCGGCAGCGGGTGCGCTGGTGCCTGCCGCCGCGGCCCCGGCCGCCGCCCCCGCTGCGGGCGTGGCCGGGCTGGTGGCCGCCTTGGGGGGCCCCGCGGCGGCGCCCGGGGCCCCCGTGCCCCCCCTGCCGGGCGGCGCGGTGGCGCCGGCCCCTGCGCCCGCGCCGGCGCCCGCGCCGGCGTTTCCAGGCGCTGCGGCGCCTGCCGCACCGCCCGGCGCCCAGACCGACGCCCGCGCGCTGCCTGTAGCGTGCAACGCCCTCGGCCAGAGGAAGCTGGGCTTCGCGGAGGCGGTGCTGCGCCTCGTGGAGCACGAGTGGCCGGACTGGCCCATCTCGGGGCCGCGGACTACGCTGTGGGTGCGCCTGTTCATGAAGGACAACGGGATGTCGCCGCTGGGCCGCCACAGCAAGTGGCGGTCGGAGGGCCGCCTTGCGCTCACCGACGCAGGGGTGGCCGAGCACGAGCGCTGCTGCTTCTATCTGGAGCAGATGGCGTGCTACGACTTGCTGAACGTGCCGGACGTGGCGGCAGCGGAAATGGTCTGCAGGAGCATCCAGGTGCAGGAGGAGAGGTGGCGGGAGCGGTTCGTCACCAATGCCGACGAATCGCTCGACTCGCACCTGTTCTACGGCACCTCGGCGAACCGGGGCAACGTGCGTGCGCATCCCCAGCTGCTGGCGCACGTCAGCGGCGAGCTCTCGAAGGAGTACACCGTGGCCAAGGAGAAGCGCAAGGCGCGCGAGGAGCGCCAGAGCGCCAGGGCGCCGAACAACAAGGACAAGAAGGGCGGCAAGGACAAGGACAAGGAGGAAGGCAAGGGGCGAGGAGGAGCGGGCAGCGGGACGCGGGGCCACCCGCTGCGCAGAAGCTCGAGCACCAGGCCCTTTTTCGCGGCCCCAGCGCCGCCACCGATGATCTTCGCCATCGGGATCTTTTTCCGCTTCCTCACGTGGCTCGGCGGTCCGAGCGCGTGCCCGAGCGCCGCCCCTGCCGGGCCGTGCGCCGGCGGCTCTGCCGCTCCGACGTGCTGCTGCAGTGGGCCGACCAGGGCGTCGACGCGCTCAATTGCCTGCACGGCCATGCTGGTGCACCTCCGTCGGCGCCCGCGAACCTGGGGCAGCAGACCAGTCTGAACTATGTGGAGGACTGCTACCTGGGGATGGGCGCGACGCCGAGCGAGCCAGGTTTTTGTGAAGAAGCCCTCCGCGAGCTTCTCAGTGGCTCCACCGTCTACGCTGAGGATGGTGGCGCCCGGGTCCCGTGCTCGAAGGAGCTGGTCTCCTGGCCTGAGGTGGGCTCCAGCCCCGTCGACCTTGTGGGCTGCCTCACTCAGGATGACGCTGATTGGGCACGGGATTGGCGACATAACTTGCTCAAGACGCCCGACGAGGCGCTGCTCGGGGCCCGACAAGCTTGCCCACGCGGACCTTTCGTCGACCCTCGGTTGGCGCGAGATCCAGTTTTGCATGGTGACTTTGTTCGGCGGCTTCATCAATGTGGAATGTTGCGCTTCAAGGTAGCCTCCACTGCCAAGCACGTGATTGGTGTATTTCTTGCGAGGAAGAAGTCCAGCAAGCTTCGCATAGTGTTCGACACGAGGTGCGCCAACGCCTTCTTCCACCCGGCGCCCGCGACGCGGTTGCCTACAGCGGCTGCGGTGTCTTCGGTGGAGTCGGGCGGCTTGCCGTTATGCGTGGCGGCGGGCGACCTCGACAGTGCCTTCTACCGTCTCAGGCCCATGTCGGGCTTAGAGGACTACTTCACGCTGCCGCCGCTTTCCTCCTCCCTGGCGGGTGTCACCGAGCTGGAAGGAGTGAGCATTCCGGCAGGGGCCAGCCTGGTTCCTTGCCTTACCATCCTGCCCATGGGGTGGTCGTGGGCGATGCACTTCTGCCAGGCTGTGACCATGCGCGCCATCTCGGTGGCGGGCTTCCCGGACTCGCAGATCGTGGAGGACGGTCGCTCCAGCGTGGCCCTGCCCGCCCGCTCAGACACGGCGGCGGCGGGCTACGCGGGCAACTTCTACGTCTTCGGCCACGACGCCTCGCTGGTCACGCGGCGCCGAGATGACGTGTCGGCCGTGCTGCGCGGGTGGGGCTTGACGGTCCACGAGGAGACGGATGCCTCCCCAGACGCCGTCCTGGTGGGCCTGGAGCTTCGGCAGGGCCGCTGGCTGTCGATCAAGCGCCGCAACCTGCGGCGGCTCCGCGCGGCGCTGGACACCGTGCTGCGCCGGGGCTGCTGCTCCAGCAAGATGCTTGAGGTGCTGGTGGGCCACATCACGTGGGCCTGCTTGATCCGCCGGGAGCTGCTCTGCGCGTTGAGCTCCGGGTACCCGCACATGGCGGCCGGCTTGCCGACGACCTCGCGGCTGCGGCAGTCCGTGCGCCAGGAGCTGTGGCTCATCCGCTCGCTGCCCCCGCTCCTTCAGCAAGACCTGAGCAGCCCCTGGCACGACGTGGTCGGAGTGAGCGACGCCTCCGAGTTCGGAGTCGGCGTCGCCGCGCGGTCGGCGCGGCCTGACGTTGCGGCGCAGCACGGCCGCCAGTGCGAGATGCGGCGTTACCGAGTGCACGGCGCCGAGAAGGCCCGAGAGAGAGAGTCTTTCGCCCTCAGCCTCTACCATCCTCCGCATACGCCACAGCTTCGCTACCTCCGGCACTGCACGGCCTGGACGTCTTGGGGCTGGAATCCTTCATCAGGGTGCACCCCAGGGAGTTCATGGAGGTGCCCAAGGAGTTCTTCGACGGGGCTCGCTGGGCTCCTGTTATCGCCTCAAGGGTCGTCGTGCCCGACAACATTCTGGCTCTGGAGGGGGACGCGTGCGTCTTGGGCATCAAGCACATCATGAGGTCCAGGGCCGCTTTCGGGAAGCACCTACTTCTGTTCGTCGACAACATGCCGTTGGCCCTGGGATGTTGTAAGGGAAGGGCCGCATCCATTCATCTTCGTCGTTCTCTTCGAAAACTGTGTTGTTTGGCGCTGTGTTCAAATTGTACTATTCACATACGCTGGACGTGTAGCGAGTTCAACCCTGCCGATCCTCTGTCTCGTGGGCGTTTAGGCTGGTTCACAGGGCCTTGCCGACGCGCTGCCGCCGCCAAGCCTGGCTGCTCACCTGCGGGGCCCCCTGGGGCTGACGGGCCGACGCTTGAAGGAGCGGGGCTCGATGGCGGGCGCCTCGGCCTCTCGCCGCCAGGCGGATCGCCACCGCAGAGCTGCGGCGGCTCGCCAGGTGGCGTCCGAGCGGGGGCCCTCGGGCGGCCTCTCGGCGCTGGAGCGGACGGCGGTCAGGCCGGGCACGGAGCGCCTATACCAGGTGTATTTCCGGGCCTTCCTGCAGTTCTGCCTCGTCATGGCCATCGACTGGACGAGCGAGGCCGAGATGGGCGCGGCCCTGGTCACGTACCTGAATTCGATGTACTTCGAGGGTCGCGCCCCGAACGAGGGCTCTGCGCTGCTGGCGCCGCTGGCGCACTACACGCCGGCGCTGTACAAAAGGACGGCTCAGGCCTTGCCGAGGGCGACGCGCTGCTTGGCGGGCTGGCGCCGGCGCGTCCCGACCAGGATGCGCCTGCCGCTGCCGCGCAGGGCCGCCTTCGCCATCGCCGGGGCGCTGGCGGCCTGGGGTCAGCCGCGCATGGGGCTCTTCGTGATGCTGTCGTTCGCGGCCTACCTCCGCCCGCAGGAGGCCTTCCGTCTGGCCGGGCGCCACCTCGCGCCGCCGGTGGCCCACTTGGGTCAGGCCCCCACTCCGTGGGGCCTGCTGCTGCACGACTCCGACTTGCAGCTGCCCGGGAAGACCAACCTGTGGGACGAGAGCGCGTTGCTGGACCAGGCGCCGTGGCTCGAGCCAGCCCTGGAGGCGCTGAGGACTGTCGCGGGCGACGGCCCCCTCTGGGACTTCCTGCCTACGTCGATTGTTCGGCTCTTCAAGGATGCCTGCCACGCCCTGGGCCTTGCGCACCTGCAGCCGCATCTATACCCCCTCCGTCACGGGGGGGCCAGCGAGGATCTGTTGTCGGGCGCCAGGACGCCGGAGCAGGTCACGCGGCGGGGTCGCTGGGCCACTGTGGCCTCGCTCCGCCGCTACGGCAAGGAGACCCGCCTCCTCCGGGAGGCCGCCAAGGTGGACCCCGACGTGCTGCTGTTCGGCGAGATCGTGGAGCGCAACTTCCTGGACGCGCTGCGGGGCGGCCCCTTGCTGCCGCTGGTGTGGGACGAGCTGCCGGCGAGCGTCTGCCCCCGCCTGCGGGGGGGGGCCCGGGGCCCCCGCCGCCACGCGGCGCCGCCGGCGCTGACGGCGTCGCCGCAGACCGCGCGGCTTCACCTGCAGCGGCGGTACCGCCGAGGCCGCGCAGGCGCCAGCAAGTGGAGGAGCTGCTTGTTTCTGGAACTGTTCGCGGGGCAGGGTCGCATCTCCAAGCGCATCTGCGACCTGGGCTACGGGTGCCTGGACCTTGACCTCGCGCACGGGGCCTGTGAGGATCACCTCCACACCACGTTCGAGTCGGTGGTGCGCGGGTGGCTGCTGAGCAAGGCCATTGTAGGTCTGTGGCTGGGCACTCCCTGTACGTCCTGGCCCCAGGCTCTCAGAGACCCTTTGCGCTCCAGTCGTTTCCCCATGGGTAAACCAGGTTTGTCAGGAGCTCGGCTGGACCGCCTCCGCGTAGGCAATCGCTCGTTCCACTTTTTCCTGCCGGCTCATCCGGCTCTGCATTCAGATTGGCTGCCCTGTCTTTTTGGAGAACCCTCGGGGGTCGCTGCTCTGGCACGCCCCCGAGATGGTCAAGCTTCTCTCGGATTCATCGTGTACTGTTCACAAGATGGACATGCGCCGCTTTGGCACACCCTTTAAGAAGCCTAAGACAGTGGCCTGCTGGAATGCAGGCGTCTTCCCCAGCTTATGTAAATCGTGCTCTGGCAAGGGAGGCATCTGCTCGTCGACTGGCCTGCCTCACCTCATCCTCCAGGGTCGGGACAAAGGTGCGCCTGCCCGCCGCACCGAGCTTGCCGCGGCGTACTCACCTCAGTTCGCCCGCGCTGCCGCCCTTGCCATGACACGCTCGGCCAATGCACTCAGAGAGAAATGGATGATGGATGCTGCCTTCAAAATCATGTAGTCTCATTTCGGTTCTTTAGGATTTGTCACGTGCGTAGTTCGTTTTCGGCCACTGGTGTGGCCAGGACTGCTCTGCGGGATTCGGGTGGTTCTCTTCAGTGTCTTTGAAGGTGCGCGGCTCCCGCCAGGATCAGCTTTCAGTTGTATAGCCTCCGGTATGCCGTGGCCTCGCCCTCCCGCGCTCGTCCCCATAGTAAATACATCGTCCTGGCATCTGGGGAGTGGAAGTAGCTGATCCTTTTAACAAGTGCATGCTGCGCCCCACGGCGAAGTTGCCGCACTTGATGGTCATCCGTTGCCATCTCGCTCAAGCCTCCCCTCCCGCTCCTCCCTTGCGCTCTCTCGTTTGCACGGATTTCAGGTGGCTCTCTTCAGTGTCTTTGAAGGTGCGCGGCTCTCGCCGGGATCAGCTTTCAGTTGTATAGCCTCCGGTATGCCGTGGCCTCGCCCTCCCGCGCTCGTCCCCATAGTAAATACATCGTCCTGGCATCTGGGGAGTGGAAGTAGATATATATATATATATATATATATATATATACATACATACATACATACATACATACATATATGTGTATATATATATGTGGAGATGTATACAGACAGACAGACAGACATATACACACATATACATATATCGGCGCACCGGGTCCGGGGGCCCGGGGCCGGGACCTCGACCACAAATGTGCACCCCGGGGGGCCCGGAGGCTCGTCGGGGCTTGCCGGAGGCCTCCCCAGTCAGACAAGACGGCCCAAGAAGCGCCCAAGACGGCCCAAGAAACTTCCAAGAGGCCTCCAAGAGGGCTCCGAGATGCTGAAGATGGCCTCCAGACGTCCAAGGACGCCCCCAAGAGGCCCCAAGAAGCCTCCAACATGCGTCCCAAGAGGGCCCCTAGACGCGAAAATTGGCCCATTCCCTTCGTAAAACGTACATTTTCAACAAAGTTGTCTTTTGGGCTTTCCGACGTTACAGGACGGCCCAAGAGGCGCCCAAGACCGCCCCAAGACGGCCCAAGAAGCTTCCAGAGGGCCCCAGGACAGCCCAAGAGGGCCCCAAGACGGCCCAAGAGGCGCCCAAGATGGCCCAAGAGGGCCCCAAGACGGGCCCAAGAGGGGGCCCAGAGGGGGACCACGAACCGCAAGCTCGAGCCTTCCGCCCCAAGAGGCCGCCAGGAGGCCCCCAGGAGGCCCCTCAAGAGGCCCCGGGAGACCCCAGACGTCCAAGGACGCCCCCAAGAGGCTCCAAGAAGCTTCCAACATGTGTCCCAAGAGGGCCCCTAGACGCAAGAATTGGCCCATTCCCTTCGTAAAACGTACATTTTTAACAAAGTCGCCTTTTGGGCTTTCCGACGTTACAGGACGGCCCAAGAGGCGCCCAAGACCGCCCCAAGACGGCCCAAGAAGTTTCCCAGAGGGCCCCAGGACAGCCCAAGAGGGCCCCAAGACGGCCCAAGAGGCGCCCAAGATGGCCCAAGAGGGCCCCAAGACGGGCCCAAGAGGGGGCCCAGAGGGGGACCACGAACCGCAAGCTCGAGCCTTCCGCCCCAAGAGGCCGCCAGGAGGCCCCCAGGAGGCCCCTCAAGAGGCCCCAGGAGACCCCAGACGTCCAAGGACGCCCCCAAGAGGCCCCAAGAAGCCTCCAACATGCGTCCCAAGAGGGCCCCTAGACGCAAAAATTGGCCCATTCCCTTCGTAAAACGTACATTTTCAACAAAGTTGTCTTTTGGGCTTTCCGACGTTACAGGACGGCCCAAGAGGCGCCCAAGACCGCCCCAAGACGGCCCAAGAAGCTTCCAAGAGGGCCCCAGGACAGCCCAAGAGGGCCCCAAGACGGCCCAAGAGGCGCCCAAGATGGCCCAAGAGGGCCCCAAGACGGGCCCAAGAGGGGGCCCAGAGGGGGACCACGAACCGCAAGCTCGAGCCTTCCGCCCCAAGAGGCCGCCAGGAGGCCCCCAGGAGGCCCCTCAAGAGGCCCCAGGAGACCCCAGACGTCCAAGGACGCCCCCAAGACGCTTCGCGTCACCAATTTCTTCTCGCAACGATTCCTGGGTCTGTGACTCGACAGAACCTAAGCGCGCGCGAAGCGCGCGCGTGGTTCTAGTATATATATATATACACATACACTCACACACACACACACACACACACACACACACACACACACACACACACACACACATATATATATATATATATATATATATATATGTATATATGTTTGTGGGTACTGTTCTAGTTTTCTCTGAGTTCCTCTCGCGTTCGATCTCTCCGTCTCGGGGGGGGGCGACGGCGAGGTCGACCCTGGCCCCCCTCCGGACACGTTCGGCGAGTACAAGAAGACCAGCGAGGAGCGCCGGGATTCTGACGGAGGAGGCAGAGCAGCAGTGGCAGCAACGATTGCAACAGCACGGGCGTTTAAAAATGCGGAATGGGTTGATGTACCCAGAATCACAGACCCCCCTCGCGTTGTGAAAAAGGCACGACGGGAGGTTTCTCGCCATTTTCGGCCTCCGGGAGCCCTTCCCGGGCCCTGGGGCCGTCAAAAAACGACTCGGAATGAAAAATTTGTCCCGGGCAGGGGGTCGAGACCTTTGGTGGTCGACGTTTTTTTATAAATATAAAACGGTTTAATCACTATATATATATATATATGTAAAATAAAAAATGTGGCATTTTCCAGCGGGATAGCACCCTACTTGCCACAGGCATAGTGTCCTTCGACTTACAGCAGCCATGGGATGCACAAGGACCAAGCAGAGTCGCAGGAGCCAAACCAGCAGGGCTTCACGGAACGGGGCAGGTGCACGCGTAAAGCAGCGGTTGGTCCTGGGGGGAAGGCAGAGGGGACTGGCCTTCTCAGAAGGCTCAGAAGGCCTCCAACCTTCTGAGAAGCTCTCTGGCCCTTCTCTTCAGTCGGGCATGCCCCTCTACAGGAGGAATATTCAAAAATAGACAACAACAAAAAAAAAAAAAAAAAAAAAAAAAACAGTCGGTTTACGACTTTTTTACCTTATTTGAATATTTTTGAGTCTGTTTTAAATATGTTGTATTTTTCGTCCAAAATCTCCCTGTAGGAGGACATGCCCGACGTAACCCTTCTCCGAAGACGCAGGGGGCGCATCAGAAGGCCGAAGAGATTCTGTGAAATCCCGCCGCCTTCTGGGAAGGCCCGTCCCCTCCTTGCCTTCTCCTGGGCGCACCGGCGAGTGAGCGGCGCGCGCGAGGAGGAGCTATCGGAGCGAGCATCCGAGTTAGATCTCTGCGCATTTGCCTGTCACTTCTCCTTCGAGACAATAGCAACGCGTGCGCTAAGAAGCCAGAAGAGCTCCTGGCGAACAGATCCACGAGCCCCGCACGTCTGCGTCGAAGAGGCGCTCTTGTTATCGCTTGCAGGTTCTGTGCTATTGTATGGCACGTGCGTGCTACTTATGTGTGTGCTATCCCCCAACACGATTGCATGTTTAACATGCGTGTGGATCGTGCCCCGCTTTTCCCTGCGGCCTGACTGTTGCGAAGGCCTTACGGCCAGTGCCGCCGACCCTGTTCGCTAGGAAGGCCTTACGGCCAGTGCCGCCGACCCTGTTCGCTAGGACGACCATCCCCCTGGACCACCCCCCCTCGGCCACGCGCAGAGGGGAGTGGGGTGAGGGGGGAAGGCTTCTTAGAAGCAGCCTTCTTCTAAGAAGCCTTCCCCCCCTCTGCGCGTGGCCAACCGAGGGCGCCCCCCCGGGACCCCCCGGGGGCCATCCCCCAAGACACCCCCTCCACCAGCGGGGGAGGGGGATCAAAAGGGAAGGAGTCCTGGGAGGGGGAGGTCGCACTTCAGGGACCACCCCGAAAAACTTCTTGGTACCGGCCCCCTGTGCCTTCTCCGGCCCCTCCTCCCCTTCGGGGGCAACGATAGGGGGGGGGGGGGGGGAAATCGACCCCCAATCGCCCATTCATCCTCGATAGGGGCCCGATAGCCCCGCCCTGTCCAGGAACGTGCGGATTCGCTGGGCCCATCGCCGATCGATCCATCGGCGATGTCTTGTTGCTTGCAGGTCGATGTTTCCCCCCCCATGCCAG